GCTTGTTCCTTGTTGTTTTTTGGCTCCTCATATGTGTTTTCCCTGATGCTCCTGGTTTGTTGGTTTTCTGTATTTTGTTTTCAATCTTTTCTTCTGTTGCCTTAAATCCTGCATTAAATTTGCAAGAAACCACCTCAGCGTCCGTCTCTGTATTTTAGGTCCTCAAACACTTTCACACAACCTGACAATCCAGCTCTGATCGATCAGATTTACTTGATGAGACAGAATTAAAGAAAAACTTCTCCCCAAGAATCTGGATTCTTTGTGCTGAACATGATTGACACTTTTCTAAGACAGAGAAATAACCTAACGGGCTGAGAATTATAATGAGGAAAATCTATTGCTGCCTTTGCTAAAGATTCTTAAACAGTTTTACAGTAAAATAAAATTTTCATGTTGATAGCTGGATCTCCCTCCTATAATACCAAAGGGAAAAAAGTTGTAACTCTGATTTTTGAAAGAGGAACAAACCCCACAGCATCACACAGCCACCACCGTCCTTTACATGCATCATGCTAAACTGCTTTTCCGCTTGTCTATCCTTTGTTTTATTATTAATGCAACAGGAAATCTTGATGTAACCACTCCATATATTTATGCTTGTGATGGTAGAATGAAAAAGACTTTGAAAAACATCTGATCACAATTTCAATATTTCCTAAGGAAAAATATTTATCAAATGCATTTAAAAAATCTCCAATAACGTTTACCTTAAGGGATCTTTAGGAGCCAGAAGTGATATGGCTAAAAAAGAAAACAACTAGTGATCACTCAACCTAAAGGTTGTACATTTCAAAATGTTTCATTGTGAGATTATAACACTGGAATAAAATATTTTATTTTAGGGTTTTTTTTTGTTTTGTTTTTTACACATTTTTACCAGGGATGTCCATAAATGGGGTGTTGTAAATCATAATAACCAGATGTGATCAAAATCAGAGGACTTAGGGATCAATGTGCAATACCGAGCAGTTGGAATATGAATGTAGTTTGTATTGTAAACAAGAGCAGAGATATAAATACAGTCAAAGTCTATCGGATTGTTTTCATTTGAGTACAAAAAAGCTATAAGAAAAGTCATAGCACCCGTCTACAAAGATTTCCTCATTGCTTACACATCATTTATAAAGGTAACACACAACTCTGGAGGAAGACATTCGCTGGGTTGCAACTAATATTTCATTAAATATGCAAATGCATGATATTTTTTAAAGAAAAATACCTTCAACACATTATACTTGGTTACATTATATATGTGATACAAACAGATGTGCAGCTTCAGGAAAAGGAGAAAGGCACAAAGGAAGAAAAAGCACAATTGCTGTTTTTTTTTAGCACTCACACTGAACGGGTTCGAGTCAACACTGACCTGCTGTCAAGCATTAGAAGAAATAGCAAAGATATGTAGCACTGAGGCAACAAGGCGGCACAGAGTCACAGCTCCATATTCATGTGAAAGCAAGCGATCCTAACTGATGACTTAAATTACAGCTCAGCTGACCCAACTAAACACATTCACAAGGTGCTTTAAGCTGAATTAAGTACAGTATCTCATAAAAGTGTGAAAACCCCCAACATATTTGTAAGTATTAAATTTCATCTTTCCATGGGACAGTAATAAAGATATGACACTTTGATCTACATTAAAGTAGTAGGAGCAGCTTATAAAATAGGGCAAATTTGTTATCTCCTTAAAATCAACACACATACATTAAAAAAAATAATTGACCCAAGTTTTAACAAGTCACATGGTCACCTTTATTTTCCAGGCTTAACTTGTTTGGAGATGGTGTTTACTGGAGCTTCACAGGTTCCTACTGGTATCCACTTTATGGCTTTTAGCCAACTTTATGTTTTCAGCAAAATACATAGATTTTTCCAGCTTCTGTTTGAGGATGCCTCACAGATCCTCAGTACAGCTTATGTCTGGATGCATGCTCACCACTATTAGTTTCTTTAACAAACCAATATTAGGGTGAGTGCAAACAGAGAAGCGGTAGACTGGAGAAAGAAGAAGGGCATAGACTAGCTGTGCCTCTCACTGGAAATACAAGAGGAGGACATGATAAATTATTTAATAGTCTTTTTAAGAGCTAATTTTATTTATTTCCTTAAAAGCCAAACACAACTCTTAGGGGCTTTCCTTATTTCATCTAGTGTCAACATTATTTTTTCCGTCTTCCATTTTGATTGATAAAACGGGATCTCTGCTTCAACCTGCCTCAGATGCATCCGGTCCCCAATTTAGATTTTTCAATCCCAGCTACTGTTGCTTTGCATCCATCGCAGGTGTTGTGCATCTGCTGCATCACTGGAATCTCCAAAATCGCGCCTCTGGCGTCACTAGAAATGTGTGTCGCAGCACTCCTGCACATAGAGCTAACGGGTAAACGGGTTTACCAAGAATGCATTCGGTGAACAGGTCTGAGGTATGAGGGCCTCATAGATAGCAGCTCTAAACTATGACACGCCCACCACCGTGCTTTGCTTTTACAAAACATGGTAATCACTAGACCTGTTTAACACCACCTGAACCAAAAAATGGATCCTGGTTTCATCAGACAGCATGATATGGTTTACGGTAATTCTCAACATTAACTCTGCCTTCAACAAACTACTTTATGGTTTGTCATCCTTAGAGGTTTCCTTCTTAGATACCAGTCATGCAGACCAATTGAATGCAGTGAAAATTTCACAGATTTTTTTTTTCTCTACACTTAACTTCTTTGGTCTTCCATGATGAAGCCTGTTCTGAGTGGAGCCTGTACCTGTTAAACCGAGCCAGCCAACCGAGCTGCAACTCAGTTTCTGCTGTTACCAATCTTATGGTCTAAGGCATCTTTATGTGCGGCAGCATCTTCCAATCAGGTCCTTAATGAGTTATCTACCATGGGGTTAACTTCCACTGTTTTCCAGTGTCGTCCCATTAAAGATGGGATAAAATGTTTACAAATATGTGAGGGTTAAAGTTACCCCTGCGAGATACTGCATTTCAATAACAAAAGATTCATGATGTGTCTGTTTATACAAATGCATAGAAACACTGAACATTTTCACATTTTGTTTACTTAAAACTGCAAATTGAATGTGTTTTTAATTAGCATTTTAATGCGACTGATCAATTAAAATCTGTGTATAACAGCGAGCTGTGCTGTGCATTCGTATGCAGCCTGCTTTACTTTGAAAGGTCCATCTAAACGGGTTAGATGGACTTATATACAGCTGCAGCAGACTTGAGGTTCACCTTCCAGCAGAATATCTCTTGGACTTCACGACTACGTCCTGCTTAGTGCTGCAATCCCAAAAAAATCACAGCAAAAATACATTGTTTGCAAGTGTAGTGTGACAAAATGAGGAAATGTTCAGTGTTTTCTAAAACCATTATGCAAAGTATTGTATCACAATCTACTCCTAACTGATAATTCAAATTTTGCAGTGCTGTTTACCTGAATCTTTCGCCCACCAAGTTCTGCTTTTCCTGTTTAAAAGCTGCAGGGTTTCGTGCTTCTAAGGTTTCACCTGCAGCTCTGTAGCTAAACACAGAGTGGTGACTTGTTAAAAGTAAACTTTACAGGAGTAGTAATGAGGGCGTTGGGGTACAAATGCTGGTGTCTACTATGAGATATCTGATATAGGCGAGGAATAAAAGAGCTTCGGACTAAAATTGGATGGGAGCTCATTTGCGAAAATATTAAAAAAAGAATTGTTGGAAAGTTCATTAAAACCAGAAGTAATAAAGGAAGAAGAGGATCCCTGTTCAAGCAGGTAAAGTCTGAACGATTGTTGCGGCTTAGTTATATGGATATAAGGGAGAGGAGAAGGTTCTTCTACTCCTGCTGGGGGGCTGGCGTCTCGTTGGCGTTGTTGTCAGTGATCTTGTTTTCCAGCTCGTCGTCTGACAGTAGGTCCAAGGAGGTTCCCTCCACCTGCAGGGGGCGTCGGCCCGAGCGACTGGAGGAGAAGGTTATGGGGCCGCCGCGTCTGTGGGAGGAAGAGGAGTGGAGGTAAAGATCAGTAGGAAACAGGATTGTTTCCATCATATTTAATTTGGTAGCAAAACAGATAAGCAGAGGAAAAACTGATCCCAAAAGAGGCTCTGATAGGAAGGTAGAACTGATTGGCCCTGAAGTATTGATCACATTCAGTGGAGGAGCAGGTTAAACTAAACCAGGTCCTCGAGGGCCGCTGTCCTGCAGCTTTTAGAGGATTCCGTGCTTTAGCACAGCTGATTATTGATTATTATATGAATATTATCTAAAACCTGCAGGACAGCGGCCCTCGAGGACCGACTTTGCGCATGCCTGAACTAAAACTTCCAAAATGTTTGCATTATAAGGAATTCATGCCAGATCTGACAGGTCCCACATCCCTAGACCTAAAAAACTCTCTTGTAAGATTATTAGATGTATTTAAGACCAAACTAAGGATATAGAGTATTTTTGAAGTTATTTCCACCTTTTCAGTTATAATATTTACTAAAGAGTTAAAGAAAACGAGGATGAAGGTTTCTTATTTCGCTCAGTTAGAAGCAGCCTATCAGATGTCAGGGTTTCTATGAGAGAGGCTCTAGTCCCGCCTCTTTGACTTTGATGGATGTGTGACATTTTAATTTAATTCATGATGTTTTTCAGTACAGACACATTAAATATTTATTTAAATATGTATCTATTAAATAAAGTCTGTATTATTTAATATAACTATATCATATATTTGTTTATTGTACTGTGGGACTTATCATCCTCCATAAATTCAGTCTTCTTGCAGATTAATTAGTAGATCTACAGCCTAATAAGAACAGTGAAATAATCATTTCAATCTTTTGGTGAGTAACTCAGGATGTTTAACAAAATATCTAAAAATCATGTTAAAAGAAACTACTGAAATTTAAGATGATCAAATTTTTATTTTCTATTGAGGACATAAAGTCTGAAAGTCAAACTTTCCTCCATTCACAGCTTTTATTTTTCTATACTTACAGGGTTTGCGTGGAAACCTTGGCAATTTATTGCAGCAATGACTGCAAATTTTGCCCCAAATCAAAGCAGTCAGAAGCAACATGAGTAAATAAAGTGCATCACTGCGATAAAAACTGTAACGTTCTGCATTTCTAAAGAAGGAAACATGTTCTCAGTTAAAAACTACACTTTACCTCAGACGGTTTTTCAGAGTGTGAACCTCTCTGCTCAGGCCCTCGCTGGCCTCTGTGGCGTCATCCAGCTCCCTCTGCAGCTTCCTGCGGGAGGCGTTGGCCCTGGTGGCCTCCTCCTCCGCCTCCTCCAGCTGCCGCTTCAGCTGCTTCATGCGGGAGTTAGCCTTCTCCAGCTTCACACAGGGACGGAAAAGTATTGAATTTAGAATAGCTGGAAAAAAGTATGCTATAAAAACCGATCCACATCAAAGCCAGAGGCAGACATACCTGCTCCTTAAATTGATCACCATGGCGACGCTCATCCTCCACCTGCATGCAGACTTCTTTCAGCTTCTTCTCTGTTCTCCTCACGATCTTGTTGGCTGCTGCTCGCTCCCTTTAGTGAAGAACAGATTTGTCTTTGCTCGCCAGATCAGTGCTCGGCATAGACCAGGTGAAACTAAGATGTCTCTCCTACCTGGCCTCCTGCTCCAGCTGTTCCTCCAGCTGCACTATCTTCGCCTCTAGGGCGGTGATGAAGGCCTTGAATCTGCTTTTCACTGAACCCTCCAGCTCGCTCAGTTTGGCACGCAGGTCCTTGTTTTGGCGCTCCAACTGCTGGCGAGCGTTTTCGCTCTTTTGCGCAGCGCTGCGCTCCACACTCAGCTCGGTGGTCAGCGTGTCCACCTGAACAAACGGAAAGAGGAAAAAGCAAAAATAGGTGAAGTTCGTTATTTGTAGAGAAGAATTATGATGATCAATAATGAGCTCCAGAACTTCCTACAGAACCTGCATGTTTGTTTTCCTGAAGCGGTCATTGAGCAGCTCCATGTTGCCCTGTTCCTCCTCCAGCTCCTCCTCCAGCTGAGCGATCCGAGCCTCCAGCCTCCTCTTCTCATCCATCAGGGCAGCCCTGACAGACAAACAAAATGTTACTGTTATCACAGATAACACATAACTGGTATCTCTACCTAAGTTTTACTCTACAAGATGATTTTCATGTTTAGCTTAATTCTTTATTGTTAATAAAACGAGTTTCATCGATTTTTATTCTGTTTTCTCAGCTTTATTCCTTTAGACCAGCAATCCATTCAATTTATTTGTAATAAGAAGAAATTTACACTAAAAATAAAATAAAAGATATAATTACCCATAATTTTCTTTCTTTTTGTATCTCAAACACTAATACACTGCAAAAAATTGAAATCTATTGAGATATAAGGGATTCGTTTTCTTGAGGTGAGACACTTTGCCAGGGGAACAAGACAATTTACATTTAAAATAAGGAAAAATAATTGCATTGTCTTATTTCCAAAAAAAGAAACTTAAAAACAATCCACTGGACTTTGTTTACAAGTTTGAAAACATTTTGCTTCCCATCCAGGAAGCTTTTTCAATTAATAATGTCAGGAATAGCGTTAAATTTGAGGTTTTATACAGTAGCCCATCAAAACCTTGCACAAGGTGGATTTTTTTTAATTTTCTTTTTTTGAAATGACTATGACCTGGATGATGGAGAGTCTTAACCTGCACATTGTCTTATTTCAAATGTTTACTATCTAATTATCTTATTTTAACAGTAAATATACTCATTCCATTGTTAAATCATCCTATTTACCTACTAAAATTAAGGAGAACTACACTTAATTTAAATTACTTTACTTATTTCTAGATTGTTTTTGCAGTGTATAAAAAATAAAAGTGCCGTTAATCATCAGAAACATGAGTTTTCGGTCAAACTATGACTAAAACTATGGTATAAACAGAAATGTAATTATATTTTATATTATAATTTTATACAACAGGTGTTTCTACTTACTTTCCCGAAGTGCTGTTGGAGATCTCATCCTGCAGCTCGTCTCGCTCTTGCTCTGCATGGCGGCGACCCCTTTCAGAAGCTGCCAGATCCTAAAAGGCACAGGGAAAATTTGAAGTCCCACCAAGACACAATGAAAGACGCATTTAACAAAATTCCAACAAGTCCAACGAGAGCTGTGGAGGAGCCCTGATGATTAGGCTAGTCTGACCTCATGTAGTTGAACAATTTCCGCTTCCAGGCTTTTAAGTTTCTTCTCCGTCTCCTTAGACAACGCAAAGATATCATCTCTGGAGGCTCTGGTGTCCTCCAGCTCCCTCTGATAGTCCTTCATTTGAGCCTGAAGAAAACAAAATGTTCAGAGGACGTAACAAATTTGCAGCTTAGTTAGACGTGGATCTAAGTCCTCACCTGTAACTTGCGTAGCTGCTTAATGGCTTCATCGCGAGCCTTGTTGGCTCCTTCTATGTGTCCCTCTATATCCTTTAAGTCCATCTCCAGCTTCTTCTTGGCAGCCACAGCCAAAGCTTTCTGCTTTCTTTCATCCTCCAGCTCTGCTTCCATTTCTCGCACCTGCAGCAGAAAGGATTAAAGTCATCAGGAAGGGATTAAGGGAAAGTGCAGGTAGGATTCGTGACTGATTAGAGGTTCAGTATAACTGGGATTTAATTTGGCACCTGTTTGACCAGCGCTCTTTTCTTCTCGTCGTTCTGATCATCCCGGCCCTGAAGGTCTCTTTCGTATTGAGCCTTCATGGCCTGCATGTTGACCTCCAGACGCAGCTTGGCGTCCTCTGTGGCCTGCAGCTCGTCCTCCAGCTCCTCCAGCTGGGTCTTCATCTCCTCCAGCTGCTGCTCCAGAGTGCGCTTGGACTTCTCTAGCTCATGGACCTGCAAAATACAAAAGGATTTTAAAATAGTAAAACAAAGGAATTAATTAAACAAAATGCTATTAAATCTCAGTTTCGTGATGCTCACATTCTTGCCAACGTCGTCCTTTGAGCTCATCAGATCTTCCATCTCAGCTCTGAGCTGCTTGTTAATCCTCTCCAGCTCCTCTTTGGCCTCCAGGGCCTCGTCTAAAGCTCGGGTCATGGACAGAGCTTTGGTCTCCTTCTCTCTGGCCTCGGCTTCTGCGCGGTCCCGCTCCTCAGCATAACGAGCTGAGATGCTTTTCTCCTCAGCCAGCATCTGCAGATCCAACCAGGGATCATAATTTCATTTATAAATAGAGCTTAGAAGATCTAAATTCTAAAAATAAAATGCATAAAAAGATGAGAGGATTACATTTATAAGGATCTATACCAAGCTTATTTTCCAAAAGATGATCGTAACAAAAACAGCTTTCAGTCAGTTTGGATGGAGGATGTATGTCAAGTTTTCGATCTGTATTTAGAGTAAAAATAAATGTCAGGGCAATTTAAAATCCAGGTTTCTTTAAATTTCCTGCAGGGAGGTTTAGTGTCTGGTTGCAGGAAGACGGTTTCCTTTAAGGCTTTGGGAAAGAAACTGCTCCTGAGTCTAATTGTTTTGGATGCTATGATCCTGAATTATTTTGCAGATGGAAGTGAGACAAACAGTACATTTTGGACTTTGCTGGACTCGTTAAGTATAAACCAAGTCCAGATGAGGGATAAGACATCCCACAATCCCCTGTGCTGTCCTCACTAACTGTGCTTGGTGTGGTGGGAATGGTGTACTCAAGCCCGTCTATCACAAAATAATTCAGGTTTGCATTTGAAATTGATCAGAATACCTCCTTACAGCGACCTCTAAGGGCGCTCAGTAACATTGGGTTTTATGCAGGGTGTCAGGCTGAACATTGTTGGAAACAGAAGATTGCTTATAAATGATCATATTTTGGAAAAGGAAAAAATATTAATATAGTTCTGGCAAAATATAGGAAAAGTTTTGGTTGCAAAATCAAAAAAATGTTTTAAGATGTTTGATGTATAAGTGATTATTTATTGCACTGTAGGGGAATTATTGTAGGACTCGGTGTGACCTGGTCAAACTTCTTCTGCTTCTTCTCCAGGTTGGAGACGATCTGTCTCTGATGATCCAAGTCAACGGTGAGATCATCCAGCTCCTGCTGAAGACGAGTCTTTGTCTTCTCCATCTTCTCAAAAGCAATCGTCTTCTCTTCCAGGCGTTGGTTGGACAGCTCCAGATCCTTCTGCAATTTCTTCTTCGTCTCCTCCAGGCCTTCTATCGTCCCGACGTCATCCTCGAGCTTCTTTTTGCTCTCTGACAGCTGCAAACGCATAAACATACCATCAGAGCCAGGAGAAAAAGGAATTAGCATGCTGTGGGAACAGAGACAAGGAATCACCACATCCTACCTGAGCCTGAACTGTCAACAGCTGCTTCTCCAGATTCTTGCGCGCCTCCTCGTCCTCCTCCTGCTGCTCTTGCAGGGCGGTTTTCTCCTCCTCCAGCTGGCGAACACGGCTGCTCAGGTTCAGTTTCTGGCGCGTCTCTTCCTGGAGAAGCTCCTGCATAAAAATAAATTGGCTGCTGTCAGTTAAAAAGGAGAGGATTCAAGAAACTTGACAAATTATCTGGATTACTAAACATCACCTGCGTGTCTTGCAGCTGACTCTCCAATCCGGCAAGATCTTTGGCCGTCTTGATCCCCTTCCTCTCTGCATCTTCCAGCAAGGCGGACACATTGTCCAGTTCAGTCTGTGTGAAGAGATTGAAACCTTTTAAAAAAAAAGTTCTTTAGTGCTTTAAACCAGCTTTGAATCAGTTAAGATAAAATAACAAAAAAGTTAAAATGCTTAAAGAATCATTGATCAGTCCATAATTTGATGATTTAATTTGAATATCTGTAATAAAATCGGATCCATATTAAAGGTTCAACAAGTTTTTATTGCTCAAAATCAATTCAGAATTTATTATGAATGACGAGACTCCATGGCTACATTCACACAGCAGTCTGAGGTTACCTAAATACGATTTTTTTGCACCAAGGCGACCTGTATCTGATCTTTTCATGGCAGTCTGAACAACACATTTTTCCAATGCAATTCAGGCCACTTGGCTATGTGGTCCTGAATCCGATCTGATCTTTTCAAATGCGACCTGTGATTGAACAGCCAGGCCACATTCATCCGACCTGCATGCTATTAGTACTCAACAAAGATCACTATTCTAGGTTTTGCTTTAAAGAAGCGGCAAGAACAACAACCATGGCGGACGATAATGCAGAAAGCAGTCTTTATTTTCAACTCTCTTTAAAATTTTTGTGTTGCTTATTCACTGGCTGATGTTGGGAAAGATCTTTATGTACGCTCCAGCACTACCATCCATGTTTATTCTGTAAACACAGAGCATGCTCCCTTGTGAAGTCATTGCGTCCTCGACTGCGCATCCGAGACACTTAAGTTATGTGAATGCAGTTCACAAAGGAGATCACATATAAGCCGCATATTCTTAGAAATGTAAATGAGAGCGCAAAAGAATCGAATTTCACACAAAAAAAACGGGATTGAGCATTAATGCCTTGCGTTTGAATGTAGCCTATGATAAGTAGTTATAAGGCAGTCAATGTGTTTCTTTCTGATGTCCTGATCTGAGTCCAGGTCTGCAAACTCATGCAAATGAACTTTGAATTGGTTGTGATGAACTCCTAATGTTATAAAAAATTTAATAAAACTTTGTGTGCACAAAGCTTTATTTTTTGCTTTATTTTTTGCGAACTTGATGTTCTTGATGAATTTGTACCCTGATGATGTTTACAGTGAAATGCATTGGTAGGTGCAGCTTCCTGTCTGTTTGTGATGTGTGTGATATGCAGAGTGAAGCTGAACCTCTGACCCATGAAACCGAAGATGTTCCAAAGAATTACAATTTCTCATGTAATGACGAAGGAAACCTTTATATGAGATTTGTCTGGAAGCATGAAGACCCTTTAGAGCAGAAGCTTGGATCAGTCACCTGCAGCTTGTGCGTGCGCTCAGCCAGCTCCCCTTTGGCCCTCTCCCCCTCTGTGACTCGGGCCATGTACTCCTGCAGCTGACCCTCCAGCTTCTTCCTCTTGTGTTCAGACTCTGTCTTTGCCTGCTGTAAGGTTTTCACTTCATTGGTCAGCTCCTTGTTGGCACTCTCTTGGCTCTGCTTGGTCTTTTCTAAGTTAGCTTTAAACTAGATAAAAAAACAAAAACAAAACAACAATTGCGGTGTCAAACACTTAAATTAACTTAGTAAATGGATCAAACCGTGGTATCAGAATCCTGATTGTGTGAAGGTCTCGTACCCTTTTGGCCTGCTCCAGCTGTTCTGACAGCTCCTCCAGGGCGGTTGCTTGCCTTTGTCTCATCTCCTGAATCTGAGCTTCATGGTTTTTAGTTTCCTCTTCAATGGCTTTCTTCAGCTCCGCCACCTCCTGCTCACGTTTGGTTCTAAACAGATCAGCGAAAGGGTCAGGAGAAAGCTCACGGTGGATAAGAAGAATGGAAAACATCACTGCGGGTGTTACCTGAGCTCCTGCTGCGCTGCAGTCGTATCCAGGGTGTCTTCCAGCTCCGTCTTCAGGGCCTCCAGCTCCTCGCTCAGATCCCTCTTGAGTTTCTCAGCTTTGTTTCTGGCCTGCTTCTCTGACTCAAGGTCCTCCTGCAGCTCAGACAGCTGGGCCTGCAGCTCCCTGATCTGCTTCAGAGCGTTGTTCTTCTGGTTGATCTCTTCCTCCCCTCTGTTAAGAAGAGACAATAATATTGTATGTAATGAATCATTGTCCTTGCATATAACGAATATATTACAAAGACAAACGTATGTATTTATATAAGCCTTATTTTATTGCATGATCAATGAATCATAATTAGCTGCAGATTTGGGTACAAAAATGCTTATAGTGTTAGGAATCCAGTTAGTGTGTTTTTCATTTTCCACCACCAGGAGGTGCCCTGTCTTCACGGTCCCTCAATTCACACCTGCGGCTCATTGGATCATTATCTGGAGGACTATTTGAGCAGTGGGCTGTCACTACCCCGACGCCAGAGTGTTTGCCAGTTTTGGGTACTCTAGCCAAGCTTAGTTTAGTTGAGTCTAACCCAGCTTTGTTTCTCTTTGAGTCTAAAGAGTTTTTTGTCTTTGCTCCCCCGCAGGAAGTTTTCTTGTGTTACTGGATTCCTGGACCTTCTCTCCCCTGGAAGGAAAAAAACGAGTTACACTGAGCAGGGGAAAACCTCCATATGCTCCGTTCAAGTACCCATCAAAAATCTGAGTGACAGTCCCCTCCATTACTCCTCCGGGTCCAACGTTTGTCAACCTGTCCACCCTCCAACGTGTGCACCATTCTCTGGATTTACCACACAGCCTGGATTCAAAGACTAACAAGGCCCCCCTCAACCGTGAGTTCCCAACCTTGCAGAATCTAAGAGCTTCCAAGATTCCAAGTGTACCTGAACTGACCAATGAAACTTCCCTTCTCACTTCCAGTTCCGGGTCACCAGCTCACTGAGTTCCAGATCCAACTCCTGTTCACTCCTTCAATAAACCTGTTAAACCTTTTCTGTGCTCTCTGAGTGGTTACTCTGGATGTGGATCAGATTTGTTAAACCGATCATGACATATAGGACAAGCTTCATACAGGATTTATGGTTCCAAAGACACTAACAGTCAGGATTTGATGAATATGGAGGCCGGGAACAACCAATTTACTAAAAAGACCCTTATTTGTAATTTTAGTGGCTTTTCTTTTTATTTCAACAATAAAAGTCAGTAGAAGCATATTTCTCTCACGTTTTTAAAGTGAAAGCACCAAATAAAAAAACTAAATAAAATAAAAATCTTTAAAAGGAGGATCAAGAAAAAAAATAACAAATATTGTAAAATAACTTTATCTCAAACACATTCTTACAAAACAATATTATTTAAAGTCAGAAGTTATGAACCAAAGCCAGCCCCTCTCTGCTTCTCTCTGCGATTCAGTCACTTCTGAATGGCTTCAGTGTCCAAAGACCTGAGTGAACGAAGTGTCTGCAATGATGTAACTCTGCAGCACCAAGTTCCAAGCTCCTTAGAACGGTTCTCAGAATTCTATAATTACCTTTATCATATGATTTTTAGGTTCAGTTATCCTTCTTGTAAATTCAGTACCCATATTGAGGATCTTA